CGACTGTAAAGCTATTGAACTCATACTGTCGCTAGAAACGTTTGCTAATGAAACTTGGGATTTACTTTTGCATACGTCGCACATCTGCAGTCAAAATTACGAGCCGCAAACGTATTAGAGTATGCAGTGTTGCTACCGCGAAAGGAATTGAACCTATCCACCTCAATTCAACAATTAGAACACTTCCACTTCACTACTAATATTACCAACACATTCAGTGAATAAATAGATGAATATCTAAAGACTTGTTTTGTTTTGAACGAAAAACACCAACTTTCATAGTGTTCTTCAAGTCCGTTTCTTGAATGTCGCCTGCTTCGAATCGTTCCTTCAGCTCGGCGAATTCTGTAAACGAGTGGCCCCCAACCAAAACAGGATTCTGTGTTGACAACGGCATTAAAACATGCTCGTAGAACGCTAAAACTCCATTCTCCGGATTGCCTCGTTCACATAACGCTCCATCCAATTTAGCAATAATCACATCATGCGGATCCAACAAATCAATTTTAGAATTCTCCACAGAGCTGCAAATTTAAAATCAAATTCAATTCAGTGAGCCACCGCTCACACATACCCACAAGGATAAGAGAACAAAACTGAACAATTAATAATTTGCATCTGAAATATTATTAAAGGAAAATCCGACAGATAGTGATCTTGCTCCCTACAGATCATTCATTAAGATAAAAAACTTTCGACCAAACCAACATAAAAATTTCCTACTGAATATTTACACCAAGACGAACAAATGAATGCGAATCAATCGAACAAACATGCCTGCTCATTTTTGAGCCATGCAGACCGGGAACCATTGGATTCATCAAATGGAAACGTTTACCCAATTTCAGTTTCGGCAATTGCTCCTCGGCCAAAATGAAAATTTTTCGCTGATCCAAACCGCCGAATTGTCCATCAACTTTCAAATATTGTTCATCCATTGCTTGCAGTAATGGATAAAGGAGGCCGCTCAATAACGGAGATTCAACCTGTACAGTGAAGCATTTTTGATGAGAGTAGAATTTAACATCGTAGAAGTGGAAAAAAAAACATTCAATTCACAATACTAGAAGCTCTAAAAAATTCAGTGCACGAAGGAATTAAGCTGATAAGAATTCTCTCGATAAGCAACCTGTTTGACGACTTCTGCTCCAGCTCTGAGTGCGTCCCTTCGCGATACCTGATTACACAGTCGTAGAACATCAGACGTATAATCCCTAAATTAAATTGNTCCAATTATATGAAACTCTTTCAAAGCCTTTATCAAAGCTCCATATATCACTACCAAATAAAATAAATCACCGAATACGTCAGAGGTAAATCCAAAGAGTTCATGATTAAGCAAACCTCTTCAGTTGAAAAGTTGTTCCTTTCACAAAATGAAGTTTATCAATGGGAACGTCCAATGCGATCAACATTGACTTAATCACACTCTCGTAATAAATAACACGATTCTCGAGCAACTCCCATGTACTCTTCATATTATCCAAGAATGCATGAAGATCAGCAAACAAGACAGTCACCTAAAATTCCTCCATACAATATCGATAGGTCAACATCGGCAATTCTTGAGCATTCATTCACTCGAATACATCATGAACAAAGCAAACCTTGAGACCGGCGTTTAAGAAATCAGCAATTTTACGCATTGGTACCAAATAGCCAGCATGTGGTCTCCCTGTTGTGGCTGTACCCCAGTAGATGTGTATATTTTTACCAGCGCTCAACTGTTTCGTGAGTTTATCCATACCAAGAACCTCCTAAAACAGCTCCAACAATGCTGAATCAACGTCATTCAAATATATCAATTAATTAT